TATATATATATATATGACTTAATATATTATACATTATATATATATGTAATAATATATATATATATATATGACTTAATATATTATACGTTATATATATATGTAATAAGATTGCACTTTTTTGTACAAATGAGAGAAATTTTTTGTATAATAAAAGTTGTAATCTTTCATAAGACTAATCTTAAAGGTGCATCTATAATTATGTATATAGACATATTTGTTACGCAACACACGTGTCACGCGAATACGTAATATATTTGTAAAATATGCTTTTCATTCGTTTTTATATGTCCTTTTCCATATTTACTTTTTTATCTTATTCTTAAAAAAAAAAAAAATAAAATATATATTTTTCTGAATAATTTTTTTTTTTATATATGTATTTAAAGTTATACAATTAATTTCTCATTTCAAATTACTATTCATTTATTTTAAACGAATTTCAAATGTATAATTGATAATAATAATTCGTGGTACAAATGTACGTTGATCATCTTTTTTTCTTGGATTTTCACCAGTCATCATAGTTATCTACATAAAGGTTTGATTTGGAAAATAATCATCTACATTACAGGTAATTCCTCTCATTATAATATTATTCTTTCATTCTATATCTCTGTAATCATTAAATTATCATAGAAGTAATATTTTCTCGAAATTGTAATAAGAAAATAATACAAACATTTAAATAATTTGTACATAATATTCATAATGTATATAATATTTAGTATATTTAAAAATATCAATTATAATAAATATCTTATTAATGATTTATTTAATAAATGATCAAAACTGTAATTAATAAACAAAGAAACTTAAAAGATTGAAATGCAATCTTTGATCAAAATCTAATACAAATTCCTTTGATATCCTATTTAACGATAAATTTCTATTCCCAAATACACAACTATGTTTATGTACTTTTTTTTAGAAAGAGATAGACATACTTCTATGTAAAACAAAGCATCATAAGTATATATATATATATATACTTATGATGCTTTGTTTATATATTTAATATATATGGAACGAAAATCAAATGATTGTCATCATTATCGTAAATGTGAGAGATTTATCTTTTCCGGATGAGAAGGGAAAGAAAAGGGAAAATTTTGGGACGATGAGGATGAAGGATTGGAAAAGTGATGGTGTTAAGATTGGGAAAATGGTGGAAAACAGTTGGAAAAGTGGTGAGAGAAAGGTTTTAAAAAAGTGTTGGGGAAAGGTTAAAAAAGTGGTAGGGGAGGGAGAGTCAGTAAAGGATTGGTCAAGGGGTGGGGAAGGGTTTAGTCAAGGCGTGGTGAAAGAGCTGTTGGTGGGAGGAAGGGATATATAAGGGAACGCGCGCATTGAGTGCAGCGTGTCGGTTTGAATTTGAATTTCGAGAAAATCATAACTCAGATCATATACTGGGTGTTTATAGATAACAATAAACATTCCTTTCGATAATTTATCGATTATTTAAATACTCTACTATTACAATACTACTATAATACTATATACACTATATATACTAATACAATATAACTAATATAATACAGTAAACAAAAAAAAAATAAAATCTTAACGTTATAATATTGAATTTTCTTTATTAGAATTATAATTACCGTTGCACACATGACCAACATATATGAAGTCATATAAACAACTTTCTAATCAATGTTTTGTTTTAGAGAACAACAGCTCAGTCTATTAATGCATTTCGAAGAGGAAGGTACTCCGAAAGTATATTCCGTACTTTTAAATAATAATCGATACTTCTATTGATTAATTAACAATTATTTTATTATTCTA